ATATATATATATATAATGGTAATAACTATAAAATACATCGCAGCAGTATATATACACGATGTTTTCAAGTCACTTTTTATAGATTATGTCTTATTGTTAAAACTTAACTTAAATAAAACTTTTTGAGGAACACGATGAAACTGCTCCGAGCACCCATTTCTCCTTATTTTTACATTTTTCGGTAATTTTTACAGCTCAAAATTGGCCAACTTTAAATGTCAGTTAAATGAAATTTAGATAGATTGGCGATAATTTTCTATTACAATCAATCTTCAGAATCGAAATCGCATTTCAATTTTTTATATCGCACTGTGTTATTAATTTGATAAAAAATGAAATTAAAAAAGTAAGTATAACTAATGATAATATTTTTAATACTGATAAGATGTGATTAGTATTAAGTCACAATTACAATACATTTATAAGAAATATTCTCGATTCCAATCGATTGAATGCAGACGCTAACAACAATTTGACTATCGCATCTTTTCAAAAGTCCCAAATTATGAATAGTTTTACGAGTATTAAAAATGCTGATGAAACTCTCTTTATTTTTATTTGTATAACATAATCAATTATATAAATATTCCTACAGATAAAAATTAAAAAAATTCAATCAGACACTTTGAACATCTCTTATTAATTATAACTTGATATTGATCATTTTGTTAGTTAAAAATTTTGTTGAATCTAATCTTTTAATGATAACTTTTTACACATGTTTGGAACATGATTTTATATGAATTTTTTTATTTAATACGACATGAAGAATTTATTCTAAAGTTTGTCAAAGAAATTTAGAAACATTCTATACTTACATAATATTATTACGTTTTAAATAGATATTATATTCTTATTTACAAAACATTTGTATAATAATAGATCATAAATTAAATGTATTATGAATTATGCATTATGGAGATACGTTATATGTATTTATATATCGAATAATCGATAATGTATATGCTCTTTAGTTATCCCTATTCGGATTTATTACAATCACTTGATAATTTCGAAAACTTCATCTATTTTTAATAATATCTCATCAATAACAGCATTAATCTTTTACTCTTTCAGTATAATTTTATTTTATGAAATTTTTAAAAGTAAACACGTAATTACTTGAGTCATTGAGTAATTTTTCAATATAAATATATTTTTACGCTTGTACGAGTTGTGAGAGAAAAATTTTTCGATAGTAATGAACGACACGAGAGAATTTACATTTCTCATTTGATTTTCCTAAGAATACATATATATGTGTCACTGGTATGATAAATGCAAAATCAGATAATTCGCTATCAATGAAACTTTTATACCACGTTGCTTTCATATTTTTTTCCAAACATTTTTGTTCGTTTTATTTTATGCGTGAATATGTATAGCAATTGCGCGTAATACTGTCGAATCGCTTATAATATCGAAAAAAATTTCTTGGCAGAAATATGACTTGTTAAAAGTATGCAATTGGCAAGAATCGATAACATAAGAATTTATTAGTACAATTATCTCGAGTACAATTATCTCATTCGCGCAATAAATTATGTAAAGTCGCTCAGAATATATCGCTCTTGAGAAATTATCAACTATCATAGTATAATATTATGTTAAAAGTGATTCAGAAAATTCATGTACATAATATATAAATTTTACAAAAAAATAAAAATAAATCGGCCAAATTTATGAATAAAATAAGTAATTTATATCCTTTTTGTTTGTAAAGACTCGTTTATTTTTATCTTTTTGCATTGCAAGAATTGAGATTTTATTTTACATTATTTTGTGTATAGATTTCAAATGTAATGTGAAATAGTTTTAAATAATACTGAAAAAATTTCAAGTATAT